CCTGCTTTCCCCTCCAGTTTTTTTGTACTCTCCTCATATATACTTCCGTGTATAAGACAACCCTCAATTTTTAGTCTAAAAGTTTTAGACGAAAGTATAGTCTTATACATGGAAAAATACTGTATATATTTCTAATGGTGAAATTACCAGACGTGGCCACAAAGAGAGAGCCTGAGGCCATGTTGTAGACAACAGGTCCGCTTTATCTGTTGAATTGGTATCTGCTGATTAACTTATCCATGGTCTGAAAATATTACAATGAAAATCCCCCAAAATATAGATATAGATATATAGATAGATAATAGAACTGGCCACTAGAGGGAGACAAAGACCACGCTATGCATAGTGTTCAGTAATGTAATTGTGGTTGCTTTTATCTGCCTTTTTCGGCATCCGCAGTAGGCCTTGGGACCAATCCACCGTGGATCTGGGAGTCCGACTACATATATGCTTCTGACACCCGGCCCTGTTTGCTTTTTTGTTTCTTTTCTCAGGCCAAACCGTTTGCTGATCCTCCATGGTTTCCTCGATGAAAATGTGCACTTTTTCCACACCAATTTCCTGATCTCTCAGCTCATCCGGGCCGGGAAACCTTATCAGCTACAGGTAGGCGACGAGGTGGGGGAACGATTCCTCCCCCAAGTCCACGTTTGTTTCCCACCCCTCTGCTCAGTCCAGAGAGAACTGACAATGGGGAGATGAAAAACAGAATAAAGTTTTGTTGCTATCCAGTCCCCTCTGACTTACACCAAGTCTATGAAGGAGCGCTTTCCAAAATGTCCCGTCTTAAATGGCCCTGCTCAGCTCATGCAGACTCAAGCCTGTGGCTTCCTTTAGGGAGCCTGTCCATCTCACATTGGGGTCTTCCTCTTTTCCTGCTGCCTTTCCCAACATTAGGGTCTTTTCCATAGAATCTTGCCTTCTTGGGATGAATAAATAAGGACTAGAAACATGCGGTGCTCTTTTTTATTTTTTAAAGAAATATAACTCTTAAGAACTGCTGAGCCTTAAAACGCCCTTAACCTCTTTTCCTCCTCCTTCTGCTCCCTGCACCCCTTCCCCCCCCCCCGCAGATCTACCCGAACGAGAGACACAGTATTCGCTGCCCCGAATCCGGGGAGCACTACGAAATCACGCTGCTGCACTTTCTTCAAGAATACCTCTGAGGGTGGGCAGGAGGAGGAAGGATACCCTGGTGCCGCCTCCAAAACTGCCATGGACGCTGACAGCTCCTTCGCCTCGGCTCCCGTTTTGTTTTCTTTTTTCAAAAAAATCCCACATCATATTATTTTTGGCCCTATTTGGCAGCCTTTGAACCCAGAGCACTCGTCGCCTTGGCTCTGTGTGTGTGTCTGTCTTTCAATTTTTTTCCTTCCTTCCTTCTCCTTCCTTCTCTCCATTTCCCTTCCTTTTATGTCACTTTCCTTCCTTCCTTCCTTCCTT